CCCTGTGCTCCCCCGCCCGCCAAGGGCCCCCCAAAGCTAATGAAGCCTGCAGCTGGCAATTCCCGGTTAACCGCGCAAGGAGGGCAACCCGGACCTCTCCTGGGGCCTGCAGCCAAATGTGGGCGTTCGCCAGAAAGAAAGGGGCTGAGGCTTCCCTCAAACCTCTTCCAGCTGCCTCCCCATTGGTGAGAACCGCCTCCTGAACACGCCTGGCTGGCATCACTTAGAGTGAGACCCAGGAAATACTCGTGAATGGAGAACGGAGGGTTCAGCCAAGCCCTGTTCCGTTCTGTAGCTCATTATTAAATGCTAGGGGCTTCCTAGGACCTCCTTCAGCTTTAGTGGTGACATGAGCGATTTGAGCTGCTGCGTCCCTTTTGCAGTAAAGTACAACTTGTGACTGCTTATGGCCAATCTGTTAGTAAAACTTGGAGCAATCATTAATGATTCAAAAACTGGAAAGGTGGTGAGAGATGGGAATGGCAAGAAACACACAAACAAAAGCTACAACCTGTTTCAGTTTGCTTTCTTTAAGCAAGCAGTATGTTCAAAGCACTGTCCTGGAAACTAATAATTCATGTGAAGTTTATCTCATTACAATGCACTTCTTTTTTGAGTTAAAAATAACTGTTATAGAAATACTTGGATGGGAACCATAGGAGTGGAGAGCTAATAATGAAACATCTTGCTTCCTTTTGCTAGTAGGAGAGCCTGCTTTACCATCAATCGGTATTCCAAAACAGCCAGAGAATGACCTCATCAGCATTGTCACTGTAATGGGGAATATTAAGAGTGCAATACATGTACTAACTGACATGTTGAGTTACAAATGTGCACAATATATAAGGTGATGTTACAGAGTTTTTTTTTTTTTTTCTTTTGTGTGAGAAGATGATGACAGGAAGGAAATAACTGGTATTTCTCTTGATAATCTTCTCAAACACTTCATCTCTAAATAAAATCCATCCTCCTTTATTGGAGCCAATCTTGGTAATCTGCAGAGGGATTTGTTCTAATAAAAATGTGTTCCTATGCAATATTTGAGAAACCCCAAGGCGATGACTACATAATGGTTTTCCTTAATTGTGCAGTTCTATTTTGATGCCTCAATTTGGAGAAAAAAATAAAACAAAACACAATAACCAACCTCCTCCCATGAAAATTAAATGAGATTCTTTGAATGCAATTTGAAAAAAATTGCCTGAAGGAGCCCCAATTCCTTGAGTCTCTATGTTGACTAATCTACTACTCAGGGTCCATCTCACTGGGTCAGAGACCCAGGGGCTGTCTTGGAGAAAAGGCAGCATCTCACCACTGAGTGGACCTTGGAGCAATAGCAAGGCAGGGCTGGGAGGCAACCTCACAGTGATCAGCATAGGACATGGGAGAGAGGGATGGCCTCAGACAGCCTGAGTAGGCTGTCACTGCAGGCCTTAGAAATACTTTTCTCTGTAACCCCCTTCTTTCTAACTTTTAATGCTTAGACAAAAAAAGAAAGATACCTACCCCTACCC